ACTTGGACCACTTGACCATCGGCTTTGACATCCAGTCGACGCCCGACGCAGGAGGCAGCGGCCAAACGACGCGCATTGTCGCGCACGGATACGCGGCCGTGACCGCCCCGGAAGCCTTTGGACCGGTCGCTTCCACCTCACCGCAGTCGAAGACCAGTGCCTCGACTCGGAACCAGCAACAGCGATCGGCCCGTCGTTCGTGTGCGCTGATGAATCCCGAAGCAAAGCACGTGCTCGAGCTGCTCACGCGGTCGCTTCGGGAGTTTGAGCGCGTGATCCGGCGCCGACGACTCGGGTTCCAGTCGTTCGTGTACTTCCTCACGGTCGCCATGGACGAAGCCGCGCTGCAGTCGTGTCACGTCTGTGCGAAGAGCTTCTCGCTCCTCCGACGCGACTTTTTCTGCCAGCTCTGCGGCCACATGGCCTGCCGCACGTGCTCGCACCTGCACGAGGTCGAAGCCACTGTCGGCGACGTGCGTCGGAACCGCATCTGCATCAAATGCGTTCTGCGCGTCGACGCCTGTACGTTCGAGAACGACAATTTGGTAGCGGCTCTAGGACCGACCGTCGTGCGGGACGACAAGCAGTGGTTCCCCGACCGGAGCGAGCACGAGGCCATCGACAAGAGCAAAGCGGACGAGGCCGGTGCATTGCCGACTCCTTCGGCCTCGTCGTTGTCAATGTCGCACGACCGATTGGCGTCGAGGGATCCAGCAACGCGGTCTCGAGCCCTTGAGGAACTTGGCCGGTTGATGCTGTCTACTCGAGCGGCCTCGTCGTTGCAGACGAAGTCGAGACGCCCGACCGAGTCGAAGGAAGAGCAGGACGTTGCAATGGACTTTTCGGTCGAAGACGTGACGCGAGACGTCGAGCACCACGTCGAGCAGAGTCTGCGTGCTACGGAGAAGTGCATCACACTCGAGGACTGTGAGGTCGCTGGGTCGGACCGGGACTACGCTTTCGAGTTCGACAGCAGCTCGACGCACGACCCGAACCTCCCGTTGCCGCCCATGCCGCGACAAGATAAGGAAGAGAGGCGACTGCAGTACATTGACGCGTCGGGCATGTTGGACGCTCAGTTCGACCGGTCGGCTTTGGACCTCTTGGCCCAAGTGGCAGCGAAGCAGTTGAACTGTCCGATTGGGTTCATCACAATGGTCGGCAAAGAGACGCTCCACGCCATCGGTACGTTCCCTTTGCGCCCTCGAGAGACGACAGTCATCCCACGACGTGAGAGTATCTGCTCCCACACTGTTTACGCGGACAAACCGCTGGTCGTGAAGAACCCGCAACGGGACATGCGGTTCGCCCAGATGTCTCTTGTGAAACAGGCGCAGGTCAAGTTCTACGTGGGGTTCCCGATCCGCGCGCCCGACGGTGCGGTTGTGGCGTTGCTCTGCGCGTCGGACTTTCAGCCGCGCGAGACGATTTCGGTCAAGGAGTACGCTGCGATGGAGGCGCTGGCGAAGCTCGCAGGGCAAGTGGTGGCCCCGCGACTAGTTACCTGCTGCGGCGTAGACCGAAGTAATAGCCACATGTAATGAACTCCATCCGTCTCGAGCCAAAGAGCCGATCAGCAGGTGCTTTCTGTGTGTGTGTGTGTGTGTGTGTGTGTGTGTGTCTCCACACGTGAACGTACGTCTACGTGTCTATGTGTGTGTATGTCTGACTCTATGATTTCGTGGATACGGCGGTGATGTGCGGCAATGAAAACCCGACCGATTGGTAACCAGCGGAGGCGTCGGGCTCTTGCACATGAGCTGCTCACGTCTGTTCGATCGAGCGATTGATCGATCGGTCTTCTCGTCTCGCTCTGTGTGTGCCATCGCTTCTTCGCGTCTCCATGTCCCTTTTCGACCGCGACGCGACGACACGTCGATTGGCAATGGCCTGAGCTCCGCTGCCGTGTCGCAATCAATCGCTCATTACCACTGCGCACGCCACTTCCTGAGCCCCAACATGAAGCAGCGGTCGCTTCCGCGTGTTTGGTGCAGCTTCGCAGCTCTACTGCCTGCGATGCTCGCAAGGGCTTTCGAAAGCCCCTTTTACGCCGGCCACAGCGTAGCGTACACGCTCAAGACGGTGTCCGCTGGCGCCTGCCAGTTCATGGACAGCCCGAGCGTCGGCGACTACTACGCTGCTATCAACCGCCAACAATGGCACGCAAGTCGGAACTGCGGCCGATGCGCCGAAGTGTCAGGGGACGATCCGACCGTAGCGGCCACAGTGTACATTGTCGACGAGTGTCCGAAGTGCAAAGCCGGCGGATTGGGCCTCGCGCCCGCCGTGCTAAAGCAACTGCGCTCCGAGCGCTCGCAACGCAGCGGCATCCGGTGGCGCTTCGTCGACTGCCCCGTGCGCGGCCACGTCAAGTTCTGTGCAAACAGCCGCAGCACGCGCTCGTGGGTGGCGCTGCAGCCCGTGAACGCCGTGGCCGGCGTGACGAAAGTGGCGATCGCCGGCCACGAGACGGTCATGCTGGACTCGGGCTTTTTTTTCGTGCTCAACGAGTCGAGCGTGGACCTGTCGAACGTGACCGTTGCCCTCACGTCGACTGCGGGGGAGACGATCACGGACTCGCTGTCGCTCACGCCGGGCAAGTGCACTCCTGGGACGTCCAACTTTGGGCCCAGTCGGCGGGTCAAAGTGCTCAACAACTTTGACGAGCTCACCTACGACAGCGACTACAAAGCAGGCGACGTCATGGCAATGGACGAGGAGGCGCTTGCGCCGCCCGCTCGACCGGCCGCAACGACTTCGGACGCCCACCTCCTTCTCGTTGCGCCCGTAGTGTTGGCTGCCGTCTGTGCTGTGGCGTGGGGTGCGTTCGCCTACGTCGCCAGGCGAGCCAAAGCCACTCCTACCGACGAGTCGAATTCCCTGACAAGTCCCTTTAGCACTCGCAGCTCGCCAGCCATTCTTAGTGACACGATGACGAGATTGTAGGCGAGAGATATGGGGCGCGTGCAGTGCGCTTCGACGCCGCAATGAGACGTTCCTGGAATATAGACGTGTTGAGTGACTGTCGTGGCCTTTGATTCGAACGACAGCGCGTATGTGGCCCGTTCAACAGCTATTACATGACCACTAATAAACAGACCGACAGACAGACCGACAGACAGACAGCGGCCAACCACATGACTGACGACCACGTCAACGACTATTGCGACAGTGTGCCATCGCTTTGCTACGCTCCTGGCCATGTGCTGGCAAAGCACAAGAACGCGCATGTGTAACGTTGCGCTTCCAAAACAATTGGACGCCCGTTCCTGCAGTCCAAGCGATGGTGGGAAGTTCCGTCCTGTGTCTCACCTCCATCGGCTCTCGTGGCTCCTTTTTGTTCGCCCTCGCGGTCGCGCGCCATCGACTTCCGAAACACGCGCGGCGCACGCTGCTCGTCATTTCACGTTTCTCCGTATTATTACCAACTCGGTACCAGTCGCATCGCTCCTCCTCCTTCTCCTCCTCCTCCTCCCAGCCGACGAGCAAACGGCTCGAGACAGAAACTAGAGAAAACCGGATGGTCCGACCAGTGTATTTCGTTGTCGTAGCCGCGACGGCGCTCCTTTCCGCCGTCGTGTGCCATGTTGGCGCCGCTGCAGTGGGCGACGTGTTGCCGTATGGTGGGACCGCCACAACAAAAGCCCTGGGGCAGGCGGCCGCGGTAGCGTGCAATGCAAACATTGGCGACAGCTACGCCGTTGTGAAGCGGTTCCAAGGGAACGTGACGCTCAACTGCAACACGTGCGTCCGGGCCGTGTGCCACAGCGGCCTCTGCGGCGGATCAGCGACCCCCGTGATCCTTCGCATTGTCGACGACTGTCCGACGTGCGAGGACGAAGGCTTGGACATGGCGCCGGCAACGCTTCAGACCATGTCCGGGAGCTCTGTACCGGGTCTGTACGCGATCAGGTGGGAGTTCGTGAACTGCCCGGCGACGCCTGGCAGGGCGCCGCCCACTTACGAGGCGGGGGTCGTCGAACCAGCTACCGCGTCGACGAACCCCGTGTCGATCCTACAGGCGAACGAGAAGGACGTGGACAGGACGCGACGTCAAGAGCCCGCGGCCGCCGATCACAAGCTCGTGATTACCGAAGCCGAGTCCTCTGACGACGCAAAGAAATCGTCCGGCACGAGTCTCGTGATTGTGATTCTTGTGGGTCTGGTTGCCGTCGGCGCCTGTGCGCTGGCGGTCGTCTTCTTTACGGTCGCGAACAAGAAACGACGGAGCAAACGCGGTCCGTGCACGACGCGGTCTTTCGACACGTTCAGCTCACCGGCGACTGCGAAAGTCAGCATCGTCAAGTTCTGAGCTAGAGGAAGCAGTGAGGTCGGAGGAGGGAGGGAGGGAGGGATGAGAGGCGAGAGCACGTAAAGTGAGGTCGTCTGGAGCAAGAGTCGAGTTGCTCGAAGGAGGTTCATGGTCTGACTGGTTAGTGCGTATTGTGCAGGCGTCAAGAGTTCGAGGGTGGGTAGGTAGGTAGGTAGGCAGCAGTGGTAAGGAACCACAACCACTACTAGTACTACTACTACTGCCGCTACTACCAGAATCGCAGTCGTTGCGTGTGTAGACGATAGAGTACACACAGGATTGTCGAATGAAGACATTCCGTATCAACTTTTGTTCCACGAGCATGTACCCTGTCGACGACCTAGTTGCAAGTGGTGCTGTCGACAAAGTAGCAGGTCTTGTTGCTTCCTATAGCGTGCCGAGAACACGCGCAAGTTGTAACGTCAGAGCGATGCCCAAAAGCCTTGAGCCCATTCTGTAGACGACAACGTCCGACGATAGGATGGAAAAGTTGACCATCGGATTATGTCGTCGATGGCCACAAAAGACCCCGTCGATCATGCCCCGCTCGAGCTGTTGCGCCTATTCTACTCGGTCGCTCCAGCTGTGATGACCGCTGGTCTATTCGGGCCAAATGGTGGGGAATGTCGTGCGCTCTCTTCTTACAACAACCACTGCCACCTCTACGCCCTACTATCGATAGCGAGTCGATGCCCTTGTGACGGACATTTCACATCTTTGCGTTTCTTGCTGCTTCCACCGCAGACGAGAGACGTCGGACCCGTCGTCATGTTCTTGTCGTTTTGGTTGTTGGGTACGGCAGTGACGCCTGCGATCGCACTTGCGGGGAACGGCGAAGACTCGTACTTCAATGGACAGGGCACGTCGTACACTCTTGGACGAGTCTCGGGTGGCGATTGCAACTTCATGTACGACTTCGACGTGGGCGACAACTACGCTGCACTGAACAATGAACAATGGGAGTCGAACCTCAACTGCGGTCGATGTGCTGAAGTCTCGTGCGACGACGCTCAATGCCGTCGAGACGCGACGCGCTCGGCTCTTGTGTACATTGTGGACAAGTGCTCTGATTGCGGTCATGGCGACTTGTACTTGTCGTCGACAGTTTTCAAGGAGCTCCGAGGCAACAGTGACCCGTCTCGGTACAAGGTCAAGTGGAAGTTTGTCGACTGCCCTGTCAAGGGCAACATCCAGTACTGCACCAAGAGTGGCAGCAGCAACTCATGGCTAGCGATTCAACCGGCCAACTTTGCCAATGGCGTCGCGAGTATGCGGATCGCCAACCAGGACGTGACGGTGGTGGACTCGAGCTACTACTTCCTGCTGAACAACGGGGCGAACGTCGACATTTCGGCTGTGGACGTCGAGCTCACGTCTGTGTCAGGCGAGACGATCACGGAGAAGTTGTCACTGGCGGCCGACGTGTGCACTGCCGGCACGTCCAACTTTGGAGCGAGTAGTACGCAGAACTTAATGAGTCCAACGAGTCAAAGGGACTGGACTCAAAGCGGGCGAGTGGACAACCAAACGCCGACAAGTGATCCGATATCAGCTGTAGCTCCGTCTGCTGCGGACAGTGGTGTGTACAGCCAGCAGAATGAAGTCAGCAACTTCTTTGGCCGTCTGGATCAAAACACTACTACCAAGTGTGGTGAGAAGTTTGGAGCTGGGAAGGTCATTGCGGCCGATGAATTGAGCAGTGAAGTGTCCATTTTACAGTCAAGCGAGGATCGTGTAGAGAGAACAGCAGCAGCCCACTCTCACCAGCAAGATGTATGGAACGACACCATGAAGATCAACACCAAGTCGAACGATTTTTCGCCGCACACGAGTCCTGTGCTCGTGTCGTTTGCGGTGTTAGCGGTCGTGGGTGGCATCGCTTCAGCTGTCGTCGCCTACACTGTCAAGAAGAAGGCGCTGGATGACAAGCGCGAAGACTTTAATCGGTCATTTGACACCTTGAGCTCTCCGGTTAATATCGACATGACCATTGCAAAGATTTAACACGTGGGCGATGAGTTCTATGCGTGTGCGTGGCGTGCCGGTAGTCGTGAGTGTGTGTGTGCTTACCGTGGCTTTATAATAAGAGTAGTAGAGAGTACCGAGCTACTTGCAAGTTGTCTGCTTAAATACTTCGTATACTGCCCAAACAGGTGGAACGGGTTACTTTACAAAGAGACACATAGCAGTCACGATCAGTTTATCGGGAAAATGCACGAAAACTGAAAAAAGCACAATAAAGGATGCCACTGATTACCGGATGAAATGGAAGCCACCATCGCAGATGGATAAGCTCCTCGGGGAGATATTACGGCGGGTTGGCGTTCCCCACGCCTTGTAGTCACGGCGGTGATTGCACTCAATGTCGAGGGGCCGACCAAGCGGTCATCGGGGTTTCCCTGCGAACTGTGCCTCAGCTTCGGCCATTCCACATAATATGACCATCCGGCCGCCCGAGCGGCCGCGACAGATCAAGAACGATACACGTGTGTCCCTTGGCTACAGCAGCCTCGTCGGATACACCGAGAGCGTCACTTTACGTGACACGCCCCGTACATCCACCGGACTCGTATGAGCACCGGCGATGCCATCCGGGCTTAGGAACTTTACAGACATCTTGCAACCTAAAACAGTTAAATAGACTGGTCTGCCTCTCTCTCTCTCACGATGCCACGATTTGTAGAATTGAGGACATGCAGCAAACGAGTTCTACGAAACTGAAGACAAGAATTGCAGATATTGCTTTCCGATTGAACCACTCCCTACTCTGTTGTATTCAAGCTGCGTGTACAAGATGAAAAGGAAAACGCTTTGCAACGTAAGGCTTACAAGCCAATTAGACTATCATCTACGCCAACCACTTTTCTGACTCCCTAGGCAATTTCTCGCTTGAGACGACCGAAACGGCCTTATAGGTGAGTGTAAATGCTGCGAACGCTCCGGATATAATTTGTACACCCGTTACTCCGTGTAGTTGCACGCCTTCCATGCAGCGACATAGATGCATGTGCAGCTTTCGATGTAACAGGGAACCGATACTTGTATCGACACAGTACAAGAGACATACACCGACACGGTAGGCAGGTGCCTCGAGCCCCTCACGTGCACTGTACGTGCAGAGAAAGGTGACTCTACTAAACGGAGACTGTACTGGGACACACTTCTTACCAGATTGCTGGTTAGTCTTTGTACTGATACAGCACAAAGGTATGTGTTTCCCAGACCTCACGTACACGGTACGTGCAGAGGAAGAGAACGACTTGAGCGAGAAACTGCTCAGGGTCGGGGAAAAAGTTAAAGTATATTTAATGCCGTTAAGTCTCGTCCATAAACCTTCTTTATCCTCCTTACACTATGATAACTACAAGCTCCCAATGTAGAATCTCGCTCACCACCCATTGCGCGCGTTCAGCAGTGATTGGTGGTTTGTTTGTTTGATATCATGTCCCATAATATCAACTGATAGTGGAGCGTATTACATCTCAATGTGCTATTCCCTGGATATTGACTTGCAAGAGTAATATTGTAAAGATATGATCACTTAAGATAGTATTTACATCGACACAATTCATGCCAATGACATGTAACAGGATCACCGCGTTGTTTAGACTTTTAGCGGAGCCCAAACTTGATTACTTTACATCTTTATCAAGTTTCTAAAAATATGCCCCTTTTTGTCTTACTTTAATTCAATTATACAACAACTTCCTAATTTAGCTACCTACTCAACACCCAATGCCCGCACCTAGCAGCAATCGGTTAAGTTGGCTGATTTAATGGCTTTTTATAAGAAACGACTACAGCAGGGCCGAATATTACCTCCGAGGGACATGTCCCTGCAATGTTTAATAAGCAAAGTAAGTGTTTTAAAAAATAGTAACAGCTATGATAATATTCGCATTGACCCATTTTGGATGTCAAAGTTTGTAAAAAGTTCACCCCTTTACATTGGAACGATTTGATGATGGTGAAGCAGGCCTTCCAAAGATCTTACAATATGTAGGAAGGCTGCCTATGCACATCGTGGTTTTTATGAGATGTCGAATGGTGGCAATTGGTGAACACGTGGCTATCGACGCATCATTGTCTGGTACGTGCTGCGGTTCATGTTGCAGATACATCAACCGTTACATCGCTTTGCAGATTAGGTCCATCACAAACGGCAAGATTGGACGTTTCGCGTCGATCGATGTATTGATAATGAGATGAATTTAGGAAGGGGTCAGTAGAAAAGGTACACAGATTGCAGGCTCAGCCTAACGAGTCCGTGAATTAAGGGTCCTATACTAATCACTTCGTATGTTACTCTCCAAAAAGTTGGCTTTACTTTACGGAACTACGTCTTTTTATCCGAAAAGTTGTACAAGAACTCGTACTTTTTATCTTCGGCGACTACTGACCAGTTTTCCACAACTTCATGTCGACGGTTGAGTTTTTGCAATGCGCATAATCTCATAGTGTACCTGCAATGTCAACAGCTGTAGCAAGTATGGTAGACAGACCATGCGACGTTATAAGAGAACATTTGTCGTGGCGTGCGAGTAAATGGACTTAAACATAAGTAAATAAATAGATTCTTTTTTTAGTCTGAAGCTCCAAATGGAAATTATCCATTTTTTACGCAAGAAGTCTGTACAGATAAGCATTGACCAAAGCAAATACAGGTATAAATCCACAATTATAGTCTTATGCACAAAAACACGCTGAAATACAAGCGATTGACACATAACCACCATCTGATGTACCGGATGCGATCGGCACTGCATGCATTATCATTCTGTATGAAAAAGTTAGCAGGAAATGAGCTGTGTATGATTCTGGTCACACAAACGGCAGACGAGTGAAGGTCGTCAGCGCTCCTTTGCACTAATCGCCCAGATGAAAACCTTAAATACTTTGGGGTCCTCGGACACGACCAACTCTGATATAATGATGCGTGAGCGTTTGATGTATACGATACGGATCGACGGCAACAGTGACCATCCAGTTGACATCATCTTTCAGTCTGCAAAGATCCACGTTCTTCATCTTTTTGCGCCTTGTTGTATGGGGTTGCTGCAACGCGACAGCGTGGTTTACATGAGGAGAAGAGGAATCCTTGCGAAAAAATCGCACTTCATGGAGTACGAGCACCCCCTATGCGCAGACCACAAAAGAAAAACCTTTGACCTGAACAAAGCACCGGACGCTGGTTGAATGTACTGTGTGTGTCTTAAATATATTCGCAACGTGCGCGAGAAAACTTCGTTAAAGCTGAAGCAATGCTCTGGCGAGTCATGCAACCTAAAGTGGCCAGGCATGCTCTTGTTGTCGCCAAAGGCTGCGGTACGATCGATACGAATGAGAGTGTCTGCTGACCGAAGTTCGTGGTGTGCAACTCGGACAAGAAATCATATTTGCTACTCACTTGGTTCCGTATATACATTTACAAGCACTCGCGTCATCAAATCTCGTCCCAAACCTGCAGACGATGTATCAGATACTATGCTTACGATTTTTGAAGTTCGCCCGTACATTTCTCTCCCACAATACTCAATAGCTTGATTACCATATCTGAAAGTAGATTTGCTTGATCAAATGACATGGACCTAAAACGATCCGTGCCTATCGTAGAAAACCCGCTGAGCAAGATAGAAGCATTTCAAGTTGAACGCATGTGCCAGCACAGTGGCAGCTTTTGTCAGAGAAGACGTTCCTCATATCGGAGCGACGCAAGGAGAGGAGTCTGTGGTCGTAGAAGAGGAGTGTCACAACCGTGTCGTGTCCGAACATTCCGAATCACCACTGCAAGGCTTGTTTACGAAATTCCCACGAGTCGAGGAACGTGACTACATGGTTTCTCCTACAGCAGTTTTATAGACGCGGATAACAACAATCGGGAAGACATGCTGTGTTGCGCCGCAATTCGTTTGCTGTGCAGGTGGTTCTCTCTATACCAATTGGATCAATCAAAAGAGAAAGAAACGACGAAGGGGCGAGGCGAGAAGGTCCTGTAGCATAATGTACTGTAGCAGAAGATCCTGTAGCAGCCTTGCAATAAAGACATTCGATGGACACCACTGGAAACTACGGGTGTCAAAAGTGTGTTTGCGTCTGACGGCTTTGCGACACGAGCAATGGCTATGTAATGCAGATGGCGCACACTATCGATCTGAAACTCGACGGAGGAGCAGAGTTCAAGACCTCGGTCCTAACGTTCGTGCGTCGTCAGTTGCTGACGCCAGCTGTTGCCACGTTGTACACGCGATTGACGAGAGCCGCGACTAATCGGTTTGAGACGTACATACGACGACGTCGTTGTCGCCTGTCCATATGCCGGTGTTTCGTTTGTTGAGGAAGGAGGTCGATCGAAAGACAAGAGGTAGAGCAGGGACCTTCGCATGGTCCATGTCCGTTACCTATCCGTTCTTATGAGGCAGAATCAAGGACGCGCTATCAAGCGTCTTTTTCATCAATGCTTTGCGCGGCTTTGCAGAGCGACGGTAGCTGCCAGGCCAAAAGATGACCGGTGCAGTCCCACGGTGGACAGTATCAGCTGCTCCCCTCCAGCTGCGTCAGATCGTGTTCGACATGTGCGCAAACGTGTGGAGAGCGTCCCGTTCAGGCAACGGTCGAAACAGGCTTCTTGAGGTACGACGAGGCTGCCTGTCCTGGTCGCACAACATGGGATACGACACAATGCTAAGTGATCGAAAGACGTGGGCAGGAGCGCTGTGGTCCAGGTGCCCACACAAAGCACTCAACCTGACGATTCTACTCATCCTGTCGCCCGATCCCGACCGAGCGTGTGGCTTTCTTGATGCTCGAGCACTGCGGTCGCAAACTTTCATTCTGCTTTTTGCCGAAGACTGTCGAGCACATCACACCACGTCGAGCAATAGACCCGCGCCAACGAGGATGAAGGTCATCCTGTCCATCTTCATCGCTGCTGCTGCCTTCGATCCTGTGCGGAGCCAACTTGACATCGGCGTTTGCGGTGAAAGAACCATATGCTTTGGCATCGA